CGATTTTAATGCCAACCAACGAACCAACGAACCAAGCCAATACCAACAACAGCCTAACACCTTAGCCGAAAAACCAATATCGATCAGAGGCTGCTGCTGCTGCGCCTTTGTGATTATGTGCTGCATTGATTGTTGTTAATACTTTTGCGGCATGTCATTGCTTTTATTTAAAACAAATCGAAAAATGTTTTAAATGCCGCCTATAGCTTTTTGAAGTTTTGTTAATTTGGTTGCTACGATGGTTGGTAATATGGAAGTTTTGGTAGTAGTTTCTGGGAACCTGGCACATTGCCCAATGGCTTACAGTGGCTATCTATCGGTGGCATTCGGTGGCTCGTTTAAGGTGTGTCCCGGCCCGAGACCTTATAAAAATAAACAAAAATGAATAGACACTGAGACAGAGACATATATATATATATAGATATATAGATATATATGCGTTAAATGCCGTGTATGTGGAGCAGTTTGATTTTGTGAAACGCCCCGCTTGGTAAAGACAACAATGAAACGGCCTAAAAAAGATCAACAATAATTTTTTCGGTCTGAGGTGGCTACTTAAATAAACAGAGATCTTTGGCTTGAAGTATGGTCAAGAAGAGGAGGGCGGGGGGAGGGGGATATATAATGAAAAATAGCGGCATCAAGTCGAACAAAAATAAACCACTCTTTGGGATATTTTAATCATAATAATAGACAACGGCCACAAAAAATCTGACAAGAGCCTTTGTTCGACTGTCAGTCTTAATAAAGGCGCAAAACTTTATTTTAAACGTTTTTTAATGACGTCAATGAGTTTGCAATTGTTTCACAGTGTGTGAGTGTGTGTGTCAGCCAGAAATTGGGCAATTTGAATAGGCCCAATCACGCATTTTCAGCTTATGATAAAACCCTATTGCTTCGAATTCTTCTGGCTTAGTTTCTTCAAACAAATTAGAGTCTCTGCCATGAGATGAAACTGAAAACCCAGACGAAATCCTGATCCGACACCTACAACATGGCATCACGTACAAATATCTCCAGCACGATTTTGCACTATTTTCAAATTCAAGCCAACACCTGCGCAAAAAGTCAGGCAAGGCTGGAAAATTGAAATGAAAATGGAGATGCGAAGAGATCAGCACAGATCACGTTGAACATGAAAAGCATGAAAATCGTTTTGTAGTTTTCCTCTCTCACATCTCACAAATAAAACAGATTCAAGGGTTTTGCACGGAATATGGGTGAGGCATCTGTATTTGGTTTTGCTGGAAATATTATAACCCCTTAAGGGGTTGCAAATTGTTTTGCACTTGAAAACGAACGACTTAAAGGCGAGGCGTTGGAGATCATTAAGCTAAACGCACGACATTTCCGTTTTAATCAACCACCCGCTACCAGCAAAATTAACTCAATTCACAAAAGTTGCCAAAAAAAATAAGTGCCCAGAAACAAAAAAGGGGAAACGGAGTCGTGAGTGGGTAATTTTTTGGAGGTATAGACAATATTTGGTTACTCTTTCGGGGATTAAAAGTTTCCAGATAATCTTGCTTGCAAGAAGATGAATTCATATATTAGATTAACTAGTTATTAATTATTATCATTATCATTGCCCATACATATCAAAGCCACATTTCTTCTTCCTTAGAACACCAATAACTTACTAGCACTTCCATACAGATTACCTTACACATTTTCCCGTAAAATATTTTATAAAGGCAATCAAAGCAGATAAATGTGCCCACATAACTCTCGGCCATGCCATTATTCCAATCAACCGAACATCCAGCTGCATTCCTATCAATCTCCTTGCCACTTCTGCCACAAAGCTAACTTCCCAGCGCCAAAGCCAACACGATCTGCAGAAATGTCTTGCGGAAAAAAGAGTAAACATAAAAATTAAGTTGGAAAGAAAAGAGAAGAGGTTTGTGGTGGGGGAAGGGAGGGCGCAAGAAAAACGGAATTTCATGGCTCAATGAAAAGGCCAGCTGAAGAACTAATAAACAACAACCACAAGAGCCATTGGCTTACAAACATATATACGACTATATATATAGTTCATAGGCATTGTGATTGCCTTCAATAAATTGCAAATAATTTCGACCTCATTTCACGTTGGGCTAGCCACACGGTCACGGACAACGCCCCACAACGTCCCCCGCCGACACCACCAATATTGGCCACCTCCTCCGCACAGATCCAAAAACTCTGCGTGATATAATTTCTAAGATCTATAGACAGATCTCAGGCTCTTTTGGAATGGACCAAAAACTAACAAAAATATTTCCAGACCACGCACATGCTCGGGATTTAGTGCGCCGTCATAAATTTTCCTGCAAACTTCGACTTCGACTTCTTTTTAATTAAAATGCTATCAAATGTCAAGTTTACATGGCCAGAGCGCCGAAGCTTTTGGAGCGCCAGCTGCGTCGAGGAGCCAGCGAAAAGCAAAGCAAACACTTGTCATCTTGACAGGCCAAACAAAGCGTGACGGAGTCTGGGAGAGATTAAGGGGGCAATGGCAGGGCACAGCAGGGCAGGAGGAGACAAGGGGGCGCCTAACGAGGGTCATTCAATGAGTTGAAACTGCATTTGCATAGGCATAGTCTGAGCCATAGGATACCCACACATTTAGCCAGCAATGCACCTGGCTGTTAGCTGGCTAGGTGACTAGCTGACTAGCTGACTAGCTGGCTGGCTGGCTGGCTGGTTGAATGGCTGGCAAATGTGGGCACCACTCGTGGACGCGGACTTGGACATGTTTAAGTAATTGCGCGCGTGCGTGGTGGCAAACAATTGAGACACACTGTGTGTACACACAGAGATATAAATGTATGTAGACTATATGGGCCCAGTGTTTTGTTTTGGCCAGGTCTTTGTCTGGCTTGATAGTTTGGCAGCGATAAGCGCGACATGTCAGCGTCAGCTAAAGCTCGAGATTCAGATTCAACTTGAAGTTTAAGCGTGGCAGCTTTAGATTTCGAGCACAATATATTTTGTCAGCTCAAACGGTGTACATAATAGCCCAGAGATAAGATTGTAATGGGCCGGTTAAGCGGCTCATAAATCATTGGCATGGAAATTGCTTTTCCATGATAGACAACTTGTTAGTTAGCGGCATTTGCTTTTGCTGGTTTGCCGCTGCTGTTGCTCCAGCTGAGACTTCCGCAAAAGGCAAGGCGAAACCTGCAAACTAAGTCATTTTAAGCAGCACTTTTCACTTTCCGCTAAACACTCGACATCCGCTTTGGTGAAAAGTTCATTTAGAAAATAAACAAACAAAAACTCTTAAACTCATTTTCATAACAGCCAACGGAGCCACCGGTCAGCATCGTGAATGTGCAGGTTTTTTTTTCCCCTTTTCCCGATTTCTATGGCAGCCGTCTGGCCTGGTATGGTATGCGCTTCCTGCGCCGATTTCTTGGTAGAAATATGCTGGGAAATCTAGCGCCAAGTGGAGAAAATATCAGCAAAAGCCATTGGCCGTAAGGAATTTGTAAAAAAAAAAGTTAGAAGAAATGTATAACAAATGAAGCAGTTGTAGGTAGGTAAATAAGGAAGAGAAGACGCGAAACTGACTGGCAGAATAGACAACGAAGCCATAATTTTTAAATCATATTTGCTTAGTGCATAACTATAATTTATTTGCCGATTGTTTGTTTGGCTTAAGTCATCTTCAATTTTGAACTGCGGACTTCCGTTTGTCAGGTTTTTCTTGACGAATGTCGTTTGTGGCCAGAAATGATTAGTGGCATGCTTTTTGCGAGTGATTTTTGCTAAGGTTTTTAAGATTTTAAACTTGTTAATCAAAAAACTAATTTATATGAGGAATTTATAAGACAAGCTTAACTACATAATAACTTTAATTCCAGGCCTAATACATAATAATCAAACATTAATCGATGAACTTCATTGTCTAAAGCCAAAATAGAATGGAATTTCATACATTTCTTGCCATAAAATATAGCGATTCGTTATAGTTGACAAAAAAACTATGCCGTTTGTTGTATTTCCGCCATTAACTGTCCGTTTAACAATACAAACTACGCCGCAAGGGCATGTAAAGTGCCAAAAAAAGTAAAGAGAGAAATCAAATTCCACTCCTTGTGCGGCTGAGGGGCTGCCCGACTGCCCCGACTATACAAATTTCCTTCTGTATATAATATGATTGATTGCCCCGTTGACCTGGAAACGTAGCAAACTAATAGTTACACTCAACAATGGGATCAGGGGACAGCAGAGCAGTGTACAGTGTACCTCTCTATAGATATATATATGTGTATGATCCATAAGAAAATATAGGTCAAGCGGGGCGGTGAGCAGGCTCTGAGAAGATGTAATAATAAATGCTGTCCGAGTGGGCGCTGCATTCCTGAGATCAGGTAGCTCTGGTAGCTGCAACACCTTGAGAGGGATTCAAAAAGAAAAAACCTCAGCCTGGCACATGACGTGGCGCTATTTTCGGCTTCTTTTGGGGCTGGTTGACGAAAGCGGCAAGTTAATGAGCTGCCCCCGATCTTTCTGTGGCTCCCCTGATTACTAGGTTTTTTAACATTATTATATGCATGTAGAAGACCGCCTCCCGTTTTTCTCCTCAGCAACTTCAATTTCACTTTTCCGACCTGGATGCCAGAGCCTGGTGGTTGTGTGTTTTTGTCAGGCGGCCGGCCGTCATGCTGGCCGAGCGGAGAACAAAAGACTTGGGCAGCGAACTTGTTTCGGCAACCAACCGACAGTTGGTAATTAAAAAACCGTTAATATCGGAACCGCTCTCATCGTTGCCCGGGTGTCAAATCAAACATAAAAAGAAATTATTAAAAATTCATAAAAGCCAGCATTTACAATATATATGGATATATATTTATAGATATTGGCCTGGAAATAGATGTGAAAACAAAAATTGAAATTCGGGCATAGAAATGTGAGAAAAGTCAGCAGGGACGCCATAAAATGCAAAACAGATGAACATCGATAGATACCAGATACAAGATACCAGATACAAGACAGCCAATAAGCCCGAGTAATATGCCATGCCCCTTCTTCCGCCCTCCCGAACTCTCTCACAAACAAAAATGTAGCGTTAAGTGCTCAATGGCCAGAAAACGGCATTAAGCCATAAAATCGTATCGAAAGAGAAAGAGCCAAAAGAAATGCTCAAAGGCAGGCCAAAACCAAATCCCACAGCCAAAGAAACGATTGATGGAGTTCAAATGCATATTGATTGACGTTGAAATGCCCCAAATGGAGCACAACTTCGAACTCCAAGAGGCAGGTGCAAGTCCGCCGTGCTGGTGGTGGTGGTTGTTTTGTGTTTTTTTTTCGTGTTTTTTGTGGCTAATAAGTGGCATGAATTAGTGAAACGCTTATGGGGGTCAGGTCGTTGCGGCACTCCACTCAATGGACTGTTTACTGCGAGACAGTGGAAAGGCTTTTAACCGAAAAAAACAGTCGCAGTTTGGGGCCATTGAGGCGAATCGAAATCGTAAATTCGAAATCATTGACTAAAAGCTTTTGATAAATTATTAAACAAGCGTCCAGCGTTTCTCATGTGAATGAGAGCGTTTCTATCAATGGCTTAGAAGCTGTGTAGAAGCCTCATAATTGTTGTGAGAAAACATCTTGCTTATTTATGGGAAAGATTCAATAGAAGTTGGGCGTGTCCATCAATAGCCTTTCCCCTTAAACAAACCAGATTCTACCGGACAGAGGTCAAAAGGTTTTTTTTTTTTTTTTGCACAATTCTCCATTGATTAAGACAGAAGAAGACATGGCCGTAAAGCAAGCAATTTATGGGGCGAAACGATATCAAAATGCTGACAGTTTAATGCTCAATGCTTTGCCAGCCTATGCAAATTCTAATCTAAAAATAATCACAGTAAACCTATAGAAAACTTGGCCAAACGGACAAAAGAATTGAGCATCGGGCGATCCTAAAAATAATTGACAAATATATTAAGAGCATAAATCAGCATCAGAATTGCTAATAGGGCGCGAAGAGAGCCGAAGCTAGCTAACTTTTATTATCATTTACCGCTTGGGCCACAACAAACACAACTTATAATAGCTGAAAACAAAAAATCGAAAACCCCAAAAAAAAAAAAAAAGAAAAACAAAAATATAATAAAGATCAGCTCTGCCGGCGTTGTCGTCACGCTCTCAGCGGATCGGCTGAAGTCGACGCTGGCGTCGCTGCTGCCGCTGCCGCTGCTGCTGCTGCTGCTTTTGACCAGCAACTTCTTGGACATGCTGGCCAAGAGCCAGATTTAGTTCAGTTCAGTTCAGTTTCAAGTGTTTGAGCGTTGCGTGCGTTTCGGAGCGGAGCGGAGCTTTGAGCGCGGAGATTTTTCGACTTTTTTCAAGACGCGTTTTTCTGTGCTTTTTCTCACCTCTCCGACTTCCGTATAAGTTCATTTGCCGACGGCCAGCATTGAAAATTTCCAACGCCGCGATTCCTGTCGCCCACCAACCTACCAACTTATCATAAATATAAAAAAAAAACAAAACTAAAAACGGAAACCGCCAAACGGAAACTGCTATACGGAGCTCAGTTTTTTAATTAACCCAAAACAAATTAGTTTAAGAATATTTCCCGCACCTCCTCCGACACAAATGCAAATGAAATAGTGGCTGGCGAAAAATAAATTTATGAATGCAGGCCGAGAATTATGTTTCGTCTGATAAGACGCAAGATCCAATGATATATGTGTGTGAGAGTGTCTTCAACAATCGGTTGCCATAAATAATGGTCATTATGGGCTGAGGCCAGGCATGGGAAAAACTAAATGAAAATCTTTGTGTTGCCTAACAAATTGAAGCTATAAAAAAAATACAACAAAATAGAATCATATATACTATAAACGTGCATATTTATGTGGATTTATTAAGCTGTTAAAATTTGGATAAACTTTCCGACCACTTTGACCAATTTGAAACCGGTAAGTGCAAGTTTGGTTGTCAACTTCGTTGGCCAAGACTTTAGTGGGTATTTCTATATTTCTTGCCTCTCGCACATCTATGCAAAGCAGAACCATATTAAAATCAAATCTTGGTAGTTTATAAATATATATATATATAGGCAAATTTGTATATATTTTTTAATAGTTTTATCAGGCTCTTTGTGGCGGTAGACAAAAAGCAGATCTCTGCCTTATCGCAGGCATATAAATTCAAGTTTTATCGTTAGACTTTTTGTATATTTGGAAAGTCATGACGCACAGGCCATAGAAATCCCCAGCCAGTTATCATAGCTAAAAAAACCTCGAATCGAAATGGAATTAAAATAAAATTAAGAGAAAAAGAAGAACTTTAGTAACTATTAATAATGTATTCTTTTTCTTAAATCTTTTGTGATGAACATTTTAGCAGATTTTAGCAAATTGATTACAAATTTCACAAAACTCTGAGATAGCGCATCTCTCAACGGCACTTGAGTATTATCTCAAATTTGCGTATTTATTTTGAAGAAAATTATATAGTGGCTAAAATCTCGATTAGGCGCCCCTCAACTTTTGGCCCGCTTAAATTAGTCACTCGACGTGTGTGCAGGCAAAGCGCCTGGCCAGCAATAATTATATACTAATTTAGCGTATAATTAGCTAATTAGAACTGCGCAGCAACTGCCGCAAAAACGAAAAAAAAAATGTTCCGGCAACACCTTCTGTGCAAAAAAGAAAAATGTGCAAAAATATTTTTTTATTTTTTGGGTTTTGCGAAAAATAGAAAACGGCGATCCCTTGACCAGACCGTGGCTTGAAAAGCTATTAATCAAAATGCGGCGCTGGCCGCATGTTTGGCTTGCTGTAAATAATAATGACTTCATAATTGATAATTTTTGCCCAGTTGCTGGAAGAAAGTTAGTCGAACTTGGCAGGCAGTAGCCAAGGCACACACACAAGGCACACATACTTGCTGACACATACAAGACCCATAAATTAGCCATCAATGAATATTAATCAGTTTTATTTTATTTAAATTGTATAAAAATATAATCAATAACAAGCAAGAGCTGATGATAGAAGAGGAACGAAGACTATAAACTAAAGTTTAAGTGTGTGCAGGCAGTAAATTAAAACGAAATCAATTTTAGATAAGATCCCAAATGGGAGCAACACAAATTTTTCACTCATGCCCATGCCTATGGCTAAAAAAAAAAAAACTAAAAGGAGGAAAAAAGAAATACAATTGGAGTCAAGCTGGGGGAAAGAGAAACACCTTAATGGCATTTAATTAAAACGAAGGCAATAAAAAACTCAAGGTATTAAAATTATTAAAGTGAAACGTCGCCACTTTTAAATTAAAAACGACAAAAAACGGAAAAATAAAACTAATAAAAAGCAATTCCAAATCAACGCCGCATTCAGCAATGCAAACAAAAGACTCAAGCAACGAACTCTATGGCCAAGATAAGCTTTACTTAACTACACTAGTGAATAACTTTGTATTAACTCTTGATCATCATCGTTGGTATTTTTTACCTTTTTTTTGGTGAGCAGGAACAAAAGACTTAGGCAACGAACTTGTTAACGCTCTCAGGCAAAAATTATGAATGAAAACGAAAAGCTGATTATGGTTTGCCACTGAAAGATGCTTAACTTACCGATCATATCTCTATATGATGGTGTTCTAAGAATACGTCGAAACGTCATAATCGTTAGTTAGGCTTAAGCTTCAGCTAATAATAGATTTAAAAACTATAAATACTTTTAAAGAAAAAACTAGTTTCGGCCACGCTTAATTAATAACCAGTAAATAGTAGTTCAGCTTAACTTCCTGTCGGAATTTCACTTGACAAACTTATATAATTTGATTTTTTAACATTAAATTAGTCACTCATTTGTCCACTTAACATGGCCAAAATCATAGACAAAGATTTTCTTCAATTAACGGCAAATCTAGTATGTTTGCCCAGAAACCGACAAAGATGACAAATGAGTGAAATAAAAGCTGTTAATTTGTATGTGAAGCCCCCTTTTTTTTACTCGGGGGTTGTGAAACCACCAACTGATTGATTGATTTTGTTTATCTTATTCGTTGGTATTCATTTTCTAATGTCTAATATTAATAATTAAAAGTCTGTTGCCCGTGTCATGCAGCCAAAAGCCAAACACCATACGTGTTAAACCGCCAAAAGGGAGGAATATGCAAATTTCATTTTCTGATGTTTTTCGGTGTTTATAATTTTCTATGAAATATGTTGTGCCGCTTGTTGTTGCTTGTTTTCTCACATAAATCTGCCACAGGCACATAGAAAATTTCACCCAAGAAAGCAAGAAAAAAGCCAAAAAGAAACCGGAAGCTTGGCCGTGGAATGGACTCCTCTTAACTTTAGCGGGTGTTTATCAGCGGTAGAAAATTTTCATAAATTTCTTCTTCTTTTTTTTTTAACCATATATGTAGGTTTTTGCACTGTATTTTTTTCTCACTTTCGCATAATTGTGGTACCTCGAAAATATCGTTTTTTTTTAATTTTTTTTTGGCTTGTCTCTTTCTTTCTGGGTCTGCGCTTCCACGCTCCTCATGTCAGACACTTTGTCAAAATAGCATTTGTTACGCTGTCAGTGCCAGCCACCAACGCACTGGACAGCCACAAAGGTAGCAGCCACAGCAACAGCACCAACAATAACAACAACAACAAGGGGCAACATCAGCAAAAACAACACCAACCATAGTAATAACGAGCGTTATCCAAGCATCATCATTATCAACTTTTAACCATCGGTTTATGTTGTTTGCCACCGAAATGATTTAATTTTGACAGACCTTTTTTTTCCACGAGGTATGTGTGTACAAAGTTATTTTTTTTTTTTGTCGTTTCTTTTCTCAACTTTTTATGTGTGGGAGTTTTTGGATTTTAATTTAAATTTCTTTGTTGTTGTTGTTGTTCTTGTTGTTGGCCAGGCTGCTGTCTATTTTGGTAATAATTTTTGTCGTCTTGTTGGTGTTTCTGCTGTCGCTTGAACTTTATTTGATATGCATTACCCCGGCCTGGCTTTCGTCTTTGTTTATTTCTTCTACGACTTCTCCTTTTTGGCATTAAGTGCTTGTAAATTGGGTCAGTGGGAAGTTACACTTCAGTCGACGTTCATTCCATGTCGATTGTTGTTATAGTTGTTGTTGTTGTTATTATTGTTGTTGTTGTGAACCGTACTTGTACTCTACAACGTCATGTGTCATAAATTTATTTGTCTGCTGTTCGCTTGGACTGAGAACTTTTGCCTCTGACATTTTCCCGTTTGATTTTCGTTTGCTTTACTATTTATTTATTTATTTATTTACTGCCAACCACAAATGCCAGAGAATTTCCCTGTACTGAGAGAAAATCAATGAAATCTAAGACCTTCTCACTTTGATTTGGAAGAAAAGAATTTTTCAAGTTTTTGTTTCTGGACTTTAAAGCTATTTTTAGTCCCGAAAAGAAGTGTATTAAAATTTTAAGGGAAATTATATAATAAAATGATTTTCCATTGCAATAAGTTCATAAAACATGATTTTCCCTAGTGCTGGCAAGCATTTTTATTGCCCTTGCCTTAGCTGTACTTTAGTTTGAGCAATGTTGCCACAAACACCTCTCTACTCCTTGTTTAACGATCCTCATAAAGCGCTGGCCGCTCTTCCTGCTCCTGGCAATTTGTGAGTGCCAGTGCATAAACCGATTTGTCCATTGATCCCATCCGATGATGGCCATCTGATCATCCGATCTCCGCGGGGGTATGCAAATTCCCCGAGGATTTACAATAAATTTAAACCCTGATTAGCTTTTGGCTGTCCTTTTTTTTTATTATTCTTGTTGTTCGCCCGTACAGGTGAGTCCCACACACTCAACCTATATATATATATATTGGTGGGCCATAAAAGCCAAACAGTGCACCGTCCTTCGCGGCCATGGCTCATTGAATCTAGAGTTGGAGTTGGAGTTGGACTTGGAGTTGGAGTCGGAGTCAGGAAGCGCAATGTGCAATGTGAAGTGACTTTGGCTGTCTGCTGTCTAGACTCGAGACACACTCACAGCTTTCCAAGCTGCATAGAGGATCGAGTCGGTGGAACAAGTGCAGCAGAGGATTGGTCTTAGAGCTAGAGTCAGAGCTAGAGGATGCATTCGCGGTGCTTGGCTTGATTTTTATTGACACAAGTTGCTGGCTGTCGGTCGAATGCCCGAGAGTGCCGAGTGCCGAGTGCCGACTTCTGCTGCCTGTTGCATGGCACACATTTTGCATATTTTATGAGTTCGTGTCGATGTCGTTTTGTGCAATGAGCTTTTTGTTCTTCAGCAGCAGCAGCTCTTTGCATAATTATTGTGGAACGTTTGATTCGAATATTTTCTAGGCAATGTCAGCGCTACCGGGGAGGTTGTCTTTTCTACTCTTTTTATCTTTTTTTTTTTTTGGGTCTGTTTTATGACCACATTTAGTGGGCCCCAGCCGGCTCATCTGTAAGTACAAATACCCACGGGACATGTGACCCACTTGCCGGGGTAGTAGGTGCCTCCTCCTCCTCCTCCTGCTGCTGCTGCTGCTCCCCCACTGATCGCATCGCATAAATCAAGAACAGTCATTAATGTACGGACGTGGCATGTGCATAAGCTTTTTCGAAACAAATCAAATCAAAGGGGATTCCGGGGCAAGACCCCCTGCTAAATTAGTTTTCACTCTACACATATATAAAGTACACGGAGATTTCGCTTGTTAACATTAATAATAACTTGTAATTTGCAGTCGTTGTTGAAAATCACTCACTCACTGAGAGTGAAGAAGGGAAGAGAAAAAAAATAAAAAAAAAAAACTAATTACAACATTTTTCACATGTGTATGGAGGTAAACATTCATTCATAATACAGACCCAGAGCCAGCATAATGTAATGTAAATGAGAAAAGCCCGACGAGACGAGAGAAGATGAAACTTAACCAAAAAAGCGCAGACTTTGAAGATCTTCCGCTTGGTTGGTTGGCTTCTGGTCTCCCCTTGGGTCCAAACATCCAACCCAAAACATACATATACATCTTCCCCCCAGAGAGTGATCTCAGTGTGTTGTTAATTTCTGTTCATTAAGTCAGAAAATAGCCAGGTTTAATGTTCGACCGAGGCACAAAATTAATTAAACATTTATCAAAATCAACGCCGCCTCTCAGGGCCTTGCGATAACAGCTTAAGATCGGTATATACTATACTATATCCCCCTGAACGATGACATTTGGGCATTTTTATGAGCATGACCACCATTGTTTTGGGTTTCTTTTTATTCGGAGGGGGATCTCTTAACTCTTGTCATTGTACTAGTCAAAGTACGTTTGCCGCGAGAGACTCTTGGCCGAAATCGTAAACGAAACCGAAAACGATGCCACAAATTCCAATTCCAATTCCAAGCTGCGACTTGGATACAGACATGGACGTCAACATCAGTTCGCCTGTCGTTCCAAAATGAAAAATGCTCAAAATCCAACCAAAAAACAAAAAAAAAGAAAAAGAAACCGAAAAGAAACACTTTGGCTCGTTATTCTTGGCCTGAGTTTTACTTTTTTTTCGGGGGTCTCGTTTTTGCCTGATTCGAATTCGGACTTGGACGTGGATATGGACGTCGACGTGGACGTGGACGTGGATGTGGATGTGGACATGGAAGTGGTTGGGCATATCGCTCGACTTGGCCCAGCACTTGAATTGCACTTGAGTGCTGTAAATATTTTTTAAGGCTGCCTGGCAGGGATCTTGAAGACGAAACGAATCTCGAATGCCCTCCCTGAAGGCAGATGAGCCACAAAAAAAAAAATGAAACCGAAATGGAGATGAGCCAGGCTTATTATGAGGTCAGCGGCGGTCTTTTGAAGTTATCAAATGCTGCCTGTCAGCAGGTCACTTCAGAAAAGCCAAATCTATTGATAATGTTGCACAGGCGAAAGCCACACAGAAACTAGGTTGTCTTGAGATTCTACGAAAAACTGCAGAAAAATTGAAACTCAATTAGTAGAAACGTCTTTCGTGAGCGGTTTCAATAAAAGTTAAACAAGCGATGGCACAAGTTTTTCTTTTACAAATTTCCTTTACGAATTACTAGTAAGAATCAAATCCTGAAGGAGCACTCAAAGACCCCAACTTGGTTAGAGAATTTTACCCCTGAAAAATGAGTTTTACTTTTTTGGTTTTACTTTTTAGCTTTCGGCTCCTGTTGCTCGTTTTTCGGCTTTGTTGTAAGTCTTTCGCGTTTTTTGGCAATTTGGGTTACATTGGCTGCTGTCTGAAAAATTATCTGGCACTTATATTCACGCTTAATTGGCATTTTTTATGAAACTCGAGCGTGCTGAAAAGTGCAGCAGCCGCTCTGTACAAAATATAAACAAACAAAACAAACATTCGTGCTCTTCTTGTGACTCCTTTGGGTTCCCAGTTTTCCAGTTTCTCCACGTCCGGAATCCAAGTTGGTGTCCAGCGTCTCTGACAATGACACTGGCACTCAAAATCAAAGGAGAAAAATCAATTTAATGAGCAAAACATGCAATAAATTACACACAGCCGGGCCAAATGAATTTTATTTATTTCATTTTTCCTCGATTCGATTCAACAAATTGGGTCACATATTGCAGGAATTTGTTTTGTTTTTTGTTTGTGCTTTTTCGTTTTATTTCTTTTCCGATTTCATTTTTAGTTCGAACAGGAAATGGCCAGTTTTAATAATTTGAATTTTATTAATTCGATATTGAAGCAATTTATTTTATCATTCTGCCGAGGCACCGACTCGGATGTTTCTTTTTCCTTTTGGCAAATGACAAAACGAGTTCTCAGAGTTGACCTTTTGCTGGTCTAAGACTGTCTTAATGCTATGCATGATTCTAGAGCTAAGCTAGTGTGTTTTTATTTTATTGTTTCAATGAGATTGTCAGGCAATATGTCAGAGTCAGTGCCTCAGAAGAAAAACAAAAAAACTGGACCATCAAAATCGAAAAAGCCACAGTAGCTAAGCAGCCACAAAAACAAGCCATATAACAGAAACTGTAAGTTGAGGAATTTAAAAAGGCATTCAGTCGCGATCAATTTATTTGACATCAATGGCAGAGGTAAAATAAAAGGCTGCCTAGCTCCGGTTATTTGTGGTAATCAAAATGACTGATGAGCCAGCTCTATAAACTGGTTCGCATCTACCTCTACGTCTACGTCTATTGCCCAAGCGTGGGCGTTTTATTGTCTTTGGCCATTGGTGGTAGCACAAAATTAGAAATCTCTGATTCGATTTTAAATGCAAATCGATTTCGATCGGTGTTTTTTTTTTTAATTTTAAATGCGTCTAATTCGTTTTGTGTTTTGTCTTAAGTATCCGAAATCTGAAATCCCAAATATTTTATATTGATTTCTATTTGGTAGCCGTCCCGCTGCGTTGTTCGGTGGCGGTTAATGAATGGGTTAGCTTGGGAAATTCTATCGACCGAAGCCATAAGCTTGCATCATTGACAAATCGCTGGACAAAAAGACGCTTCGAACACTTTACCAGCTTAAATACTCGTAGATTTGGCTTAAAGTCGCTACCCGAGTCGCAGCTCAAGTGATAAATGATAGTCGAATGTGACTTGGCTTATGGCCTGCCTGCGTACACCTGTTTTGGAGTCAACACGTTGTGAATGAATCGCTTCCGGCATGAATGGAATGGATTTGGAATCTTTGCCATGCCATCGCCTCATCGTATCATTCTCGAGTGCAATCGAAGGTGTTTGGTTGCAGGAAGATGAGTAGGAGATTTGGCAGATATTATAATGATTTCCCCAGAAGTAGGAGTTACAAAAGGGTATTATCTTTTATACAACAGAACTTTACATTCATTAACTTGCCTTCTTAAGCCTTTACACTGATGTAGTTATATTGTTATCCCCGAAACAGTTAAAGAACAAAACACAACTTAACTAGCCATAAAAGTTAAGCTCTGGAAAAGTAAGAAATCCCCCTATAAAGAACCGATCTCTATCTGAATAATTTTACTTCCGAAACGATTTCATCATTTTATGACCAACACGAGGAGCCTTTTAGTGGCCGATCATCAGATTCCTCTCGATCGAGAGTCTCTTGGCAGAGACAGACATGGCCAATAAATTTTTGCTAGTGGTACATAAAAATTTGTCACATAAATTACAATTTGCGTGCCCCTGTCGAGTGGCCAAACAACAAGGCGCACACTTGTCACACACACATATATACTATTTTAGCCAAGCAACACACTGACAACTAACTGTTGGCATTTTGCAATGGATTTGTACGCCAGGCGACCCTAATTGCCATTGAGTGTTGTCCCGGGCAAACGACTAACACTAATTGTGCGTACAACTTCAACTACAAATCCCCCGAACAGCTCAATTTGCATGCGAGATCGTCTCCCGTTAGAGGAGGGATTTCAGCCTTTCAGCATTCTAGGCAATTAGCCTGGCCGAAAAGGAGGGAGGCTGAGGGGATTCCCGATTCCGATTCGAAATGGAAATGGAGTGCAGGCATAAATGTCAGCTTCAATTTGGCGGCCTGCAATTAAAAGAGGCTGAAGTTGTACAACTGACAGATCACCGGGGCAAAACAGCTTTATTTGCAGATTCATTTGGCCTGGCTAGCTAGCTGGCTGGCTGGCTGGCTTGCTGGCTGCTAGCCAGAAGATGAATGACTCTGCAGCTGCTGCTGGCGATAAGCGAACACGAAAGCCAAGCGAGCTGATAAACGTCGAGAAAGTAAGGCAGACGACTTTCTTTTTGGCCAAGCCAAAGAAAACTTCTAAGGCTAGCTGAAAAGCTAACAAACAAAAAAGTGTAATTATTGTTTAGAGTTGATTGTGCAAAAATTCGGGCGTTTGCTCATGCAAATTATCGATTCGATTCGATACGATTCGGCGTCTGGCACGAGTTGGTTTCATAATTAAAATGCAGGCAAAACGGGAAAGAGTTGCGGTCACTCTGAGCTACCGCAAAATGTATAAATTATGCAAAAAAGGTATTCAAATACAAATACAAAAAAAAATAGGAAAAAAACAGAGAGACAGACCTTAAAATTCATATTGTTAGCAAACGTGGGCATTGTTAGACGCCTAGCCGCTCGCCGATTGGTCCACTGAAAGTTGGCTCATTAGCATGTTAGGCACACGCCCCACAAACGCAATACACGCCCCTACCAAAATCAAAAGAGGGAAACAAGATCAAAAGGCAGGTTGAGCCTCCCCTGATAATGGCCAACAATATCCCCCCAAAAAAAAGAAAGAAAAAAAACCATAGTTATAGAGTTATCTAGCCCAGATTGCCCGATTGCGGTGGCTGCTCGTTGTGGCCGCGATGCTGTGGCAATAAATCAAAATTATTATCCACACATTTGACTGTTTAAGGCAGCGCATGCATTTTGGCCATTTATGGCTAGCTTTTTGGTTCCTGCTAGCCCGATCCGTTAGCGAACGGCCTTTAAAAGAATGCTATGGCATATGGCATATGCCATATAGATACGAGTCGGAGGTACATGCTCCCAAGTAGTCATAGTAGTAGTAGTAGTCTTAGTAGTCCCGTAAACAGTGGCGCTGGCGTTGGGCTTATCTGGCGGACGCAATCGGCGACCTGGAGCCGGAGCTGAAAACCTGGATCTGGCCGCATTTGAATATGACGCACGAGTGAGCCGCCAACTAGGGTGTGTGCCTCAGACTCTATCCAGCCTAACCTGGCTGGCCAACTATCCCAGTGCCAGTGGCCAGAAAACCTGGCTTTTTGACTGTGACTTGTGGTGAGCACGCTTGATTTTCGATCGGCGATAAGAAATTTATAGTTTCGGCTTAAAAGGCATTAGAGTGTAATATATTTAAAGTTTGGCATCGTATCTATATAGCTATATAGCTACACATACATATATTAAACAAGTAAAGGAGGCTCTGGCAGCCCATTGTTGCCAAGGCTTAACCTACCTCCAACGGCCCCGTGGGTGTGTAAATCTATATGCAAATATTTGCATGCCCAGTCGCAATACAAAAGACTTAGGCAACGAACTTGGCTACCTATAAAACGACCGCGCTTGTCATAAAGTCATGCTAAGCTAGAAGTGCAAGCAGGATGGCAAATTAAGCCGATATTCTTTATAGATCAAGTACATGCAATCAATAAGTTAAGAACTGACCAGAGAGTTATGGCCAATTTACACGGTGTTGGGGCAAATCTAATAAAACAAATGGTTAAATCTATAAAATTAACGATATGCTTAACTTGATGAATGGTATTATTAGGTGTTTGCAAGGGGCTAAAGCTAATTTTTAAATTAACTTTCAATTCACTTTGGTAACTGATATAACTGGCTGAAAAGGGGCTTTGAGAATGAAAAGCAAAAACTAGCCCTGAAAAGCTGTAAATTGAATTGGGTAAGCAAGGGAAATGTGTGGGCGTAAATTATAAATTAATTATATATTTATTATAAAATCTAACGCAGAAAACTAGTTTATCTTAAAGCTATTAACAATTCTGAAATAAGTTCGCCTAAGCTAGTTTCTTAGCTAATGATTTTTGAATTTCATTTCAAAATTTAAAAAATAATCTTACTCAATTAGTTTTCCCAAGAACTTGCTGACGGTGCCTACAATGTTGGGATATTTCCCTTGATTAATTGGTCTGGCAAACCCAATAATTTTCATAGAGTTTCCTTTCCCATTCCCAAGCAAACTGTAATCCAACATAATCCAGCTCTATAACCATACTTACCCCCAACGCGACAAACTCTTTGCAAATTCATTTCTATGCAAATTTTCTTGTTTCCATTTGGATATATATTTTCCTGTAGCTCTGGAGTTTCACTTTCAATTTGTATGGTTTTTTTTTATTTTTCGGTGCTTTTGTCACAGTTTTCATTTCTGTTTTGCATTGTATTGCATTGTATGTTATGGAGGGGCTATATGACAATGTACAGAGTATTTGCCTCGATTCGCGTTCGCGTTAGCGTTGAAGTTGAGTTTTTCTTTTGTCTAGCAGCTGAAATTGTTTTATATGGTAAAATGCAATTTGTGCAACTGGCAAAAGCGACAAACAGCAAGCATCCTTTGCTATATATTGAAAGTGAAGTCTCTTAGCATATTTGCAGCATTTTCTTGTTGTTGTTGTTGCTGCTGTTTTACTCTGTGAAATTTGCATATTTGCACACAGCTGCTTTTTTCTATTTCTCCGGTGCTTTTCTTCACTTGCCGCTGTTGTCTTCTATTGCATTAATTTTGGCTTCTTGTTGTCGTCGTTGTCGTGGCTAATATGGTTGCTGCTGCTGCTGTTACTGCTGCAGCATGTTGCTGCCTCTTTTGTTGCTCATGTGCAGCATTTGTCGTTGTGTTACCACATTCTGCAGTTAAGGCGGTTTGTAATTAATGGTTAATTAATTGAAACGAAGTAGCTGACATTCTTAATGATCCGTAATTTGTTATTATGGTAATTTATACAAGCCACAGCAGCAACAGCAGCAGCAGCAGCAGCGGCAGCAACACCAACACAATCGCTGCCCTATACTGTTGTTGTCTTGTAAGACATATACAAATAAAAATTCATTAGCTTCTGAGCTGATCGGAGCTGAGTGAGTTCGGATGACGGCGACAATTGTCTAATTGCAGTCACGAGCAATTTATGTACCTCGTTCAGC